CAAATAATGGCTCCAAGCATCCCTATTTGATCCAATTTTAACACTTCTCAATTCCACCTTCTTCCTGTTCTATTTTTTACATAGTTCTAGTCTGTTCCATTCCCCAATAAAGGAGAACTAACAATTTAATATTTAACATTTTCAAACATTTTAAGAAATTTTTAAACACCTATACTGCAAACATGACTTTTCTTATCTGCATAATGAAAACTGATGGGGTTGCAAAGATTTGAACTACTACCTGAAGATCCACACTCTATTTTCTGTTGAGATTGTTGCAAGGCTGACCAATCTCTTCTGTGTCAGAGTGAAATGTCGATTTGTTTATTAACTTCAGTTTGGAGAATCTGAATTTCCCCTATCAACTATTATAATAAGTATTTGGTGTATATGCAGAGCAACAAAAGCATTTTGAAGAGAGTGATCATCTTATTTATGTCCTATTTATTTACAGAATAGCCTTTTAGAACTGATCCTGCTGAAATGGATCTTTGAAAGGGTTATTTGTTCATCACCAAGGAGCTTATATGTCATTGTGTTTCAACACTGTCTTTGGTGCCTTAATGTATACTGTATGTTTTCCAGATGTTGTAAGAGATTTTGGAATATTATACAATATCCTAAATATAGTTCTCTGATCAGCATAAACTGTTTTTCATCTGATTGTTTTATGCACACCAACACTTGTTTTGAGTCTCTTTTGGATTACCCCATGCGCTGTATACATAATATCTTATTCTGTGATTCCTGAATTTTTGAATGAATGGTGTGAAGTTCCTCTGCCAAGCTCCATGCACTCTTCCGAATATTTTCAAATTCCTCTTGTAGTAAAATTATAGGTATTATTTTGCTTTGTCTATTCGTTCCATTGTTTCTGATATATCAAGTTCAACATCTTGAGGCCTCTTTCTTAGTATTTATTTCAAACAATATGCCCTGCCATAATATTAAGCTACACAGATCTTGAAAGTTAAATAAATTTTTGGTAATGCTATTTTCCTTTGTTGCAGTTTTCCTATTGATGGTGCCTGTCAAACTATTACCTTATAAAGACAACCATGACATCACTTTTGGGTAGCAAGCATTTTCATGATGGCAAATGAGGCTTTTCAGAATGTTTTGCCAATAAAGATTCTGATGCAATCTGGATGTTGACCATTTATGGTGGCTTGTAACACTGCTTTCATCTCAAGCTCTTTCCACTTATGAAATGCTTCCTAGTGATTGAATGCCTTCTCGTGGCAGGTCTAATTCCTAGCCATATTTTTTCCAGTCCTTTGTTCCTGTACAGCCCATAATGGATGGAAGATTAGTCTGGAAAGTCTGTAATTAAAAAAAGTAAGTTGCATTTGGGGGCTTTGAGTATGTCAGCCTTTTAGCCTCTTTGTTGCCATTGGTGATTTTACCCATGTAACCTTTTGGATGGAAATTTCTATTGAATTGTTTTAGGAACATTACATTTTTCAACTGTGAGGAAAAAGAAGTTCTGGAAGTCACTCAGACTACTTCACTGTCATGGATCCCTTAGACGTACTGTACTCAGCAGTAATTATTTCCTGCACAACAATTTATCTACAGTTTCCTTCATGAACATGCATGGTTGAATTAATTTGAGATGGACCTGGAAGACTTACCATGGACAAATGCATCTGTCTCTCAGGAGAGATCCTTCCTACTTGAAAAGGCATTATTTTTCTGAATGCTGACCCAAAGGGTCATTTTTTTTTTCCTTTTCATTTATCGATAGTTGCTATGGAGCTATAGTGGCTCCCATGATTGAAACAAGCAAACAAATCGACTGGTAGCAGGATCTAAGTGCCCTCAGAGTCTAACTGGCTTTCCCCACCTTTGAGCATCTGAATAATGCTTGTTTTCCTCAAGTGGCTTTAGGGAAGCAGAAGGAAGCTCCTTGCAAAGCTAGTATTAATCAATCCAAGTGCCTAGGAGGCTAAGGAGATACATGAGATGTCCCTGCTCCTACATCTCCCTGCAGCTTCTTTCTCACCTCTATTGTTTACCTGTCTCTTGAACTCTCAAATGTGGGAAGAAAAGAGAACAAGCAGAATATATAAAGTGTATATTACTGCCCAGATAATCATATTCCTTACATAATTCTAAATACACCTTTTGGAAGCTTTCCTGAGGCCAAGACAATTAAAAGTGGCTTTTATGGAGATGAAGCTCTCATTTTCCTTCTCAGGGCTTTTTTTCTCATAGAACGCCCAGAATGGAGTTCTGGAACTTTTTTTGGATGGAACCTTGTAGGGTAGGCAAGGCGGGTTGTATGATGTGTGTGAGTTTCAGCACCTTTTTTTTTTTTTTTTTAAGAAAAAAAGCACTGTTTCTTCTGATCTGTAGCAGGCCATTTTCTCTTTGCATGGTGCTGCCTATGCACTCTGCCTCTTGAAAGATCAGGACTTGATTTATCTCAAGCTTTGCCTCACCTTGAAGAAAATACACTGACCAATAAGAAACATGATGACTGCTCTGCAGCTTTGAGGCAGGGGCTCCTTTGCAATTGAAGGGATGCCCTGCTCAAAGCCTCACTTTTTCAAAGCTCTGAACAGTCCTAATATCCCTGGAGCTTCTTATCTCATCCGAAGGAGATAAAATACAGCATTCCAAAATATGGCATAGGTTCAGCATTAGTATGATCACCAGGACCAGACATTTGTGCTGGAGCTAAAATTTTGGATGATTCTACCACCAACCCCATTTCACATAAAATAACTCCCCCGATTGAGAGGTGAATCTCAATTCTGATGTGGAACACACTGTGTGCAAGAGTCACCTTTTAAACCATGATACATTACATTTTCAATGTGTTTCACATGCTATTTCATTTCTCTAAGATAAGCCAGGTTAAGTAACTTGATATCAATATAGAAGGGAAAGAGCTGTTTATAAGTGTCAAGAAGTGAAATTTGAGCTATCAGCTGCTTAGATGACAGTCTGACTGCTCTGAGCCATTGTGCTGTACCTGCCTCTTCATCAGCTGAAGGACAAAAAAGGTGGTACATATTTTAACATAACAGAACATCAACATGTATAATATGGCTTGGAATGTTAGGATGGAAAATGCTGCAATTATGAAGTTTGTTACATCACTGCGGTGATATTAACAAAATGAGCAAGACAAACATTTACATGCTATACTAATAAAATATAACAAAAGTTTTCAGCTGACTATATAGAAACAATTCCATAAGTGTACTTCCCTACTATGAATGTAGCCTTACCAATAAATATATTATAAATCATTTGAGTAAGACAGAATCCTTCATAATTATTTAAAAATAAAGAAAAAATCCCTAGGAAACTGCATTCATTTTATGGCTCTGATCTTAAAAATGGCTGCCAATTTCATTAATTGAATTTCATGTAAATATAAGACTTTATTAAATATCAAAAATAAAAATAAGCAATTAATGGATATTAATTCTAACAATAGAACAAAGTAGATTTATAACAGAGGGCTTTATAAATGACTACTTATAAATAAATTTACATTGTGTAAAATGCCAGTATGTTTATTTTTGTTACTGTTATTTTCCTCAAGGTTAGTTTTAGGTAAAAGTTGTTATAAAGTTCAATGAATATAAATCTGAATACATTGCCAAAAGTTTTATTAGATAGCAGTGTTTTAATCCTTATCGTATTTTCATTGGAATTAAATTAGATTAATTTCCAATTATATTTATTTGAGTTTCTTTCGCAACTGCATTCATTTCATTTTGAAATTTTCATTATAAAAATGTAATTCTTAGAATGCTTTCATCAGTGCCTTCATTACTAATATTGATCTGAAATGTAAAAAAAGGTAAGTAAACAGTTAATTTGCATTTTTACACCTACTTGATATTATGCATGCCTAATATCAGGGATGAGATAAAAATAATAGTCTGATTGCAGTTAGACAGACATAGAAGAATCATTGGCTGAGATAGCAGAATTCTGAAAACAGCACATTATTGGGATCTAAATGCTGGTCTAAAACCCTTAAGCCAAGACAATTTAAGATACGGGGGTCATTGTACATTTTTGAGAGCACTCTTTTTCTCTCTCATTCCTTATTACATTACCAGTATGAAGCAAAACAAAAGGGTTGCAATAACAAAAATGTTTTAAGAATAGAAGTAGCAACCCTTTCTCTGTCCAGATGCTGCTGTTCTTTAGAAAAAAAGCCACGAAACTGCATTCAAGACAATAAAAGATTCACAGAATTTGTAGTTATCCTTTACAGAAGCAAAACGTTTAGCTCCAAGCACACTTGACATTTGACTCGGGTGTATCCACTGCAAATGAGAAAGCAAATTCTGCCCTAGCATTTATTTAGATAGAAATGAATAGGAAAATGTAATAGTGGTCATACCACCTATTTCCATATGTGTAACTGAATTAGTAAAGCAATGCCACTTGTTTACCTTTATCATCCATTCACAAATTCTTAACAGGCATTCTGACAATGGGGATGAAGTTATGATGATGCTGCAGTATTCAGCTTGTGTTCCACTTCTTGAACATAAAAAAAAAATGTTTGCTTCTAATCAAAGCAATGTTTGTGTGGGTGTGGGTGTATGGAGGGGGGATTTGCCTTTTTTGAAACAGTTAAAAAAATCGACAAAGAGTAAACCTAAGGAAACCACTAAGCATAATTTTGCTGGCCCACTTCTGTGTTTTCTTTCTGCACAAATAAATGTATGAGAAGGGGCTAGAGAGGTTTGTGAAAAGAAATTTAAACACCACTAGTGAATGTTGCTCCAAAGTCTTAAATAAAAAGGGGAAAGATAGGCTAATATGCCTAATACCCCATCCTATTTCTGTTCAAGTTTTCTTCTTGCACTTGAGCCTTAGACTTTTCAGACTTAAACTTCAACCACAATCCTTCTGAAAGGGATGCAAGGGAGGGACGGAGGGGGGCGGTGGCAAAGGGCAGAGCAGGATGAGAAAGGGCAGGGCAGGAGTGGCACAAGGCGGGGGGGGGGGTTTAGCGCGGCTACCTCCATCCCCAGCTTCTGCTTCAGCACCAGGGCAGCGCACAGATAGCCGGCGCGGCCCACGAAGAGCTCGTCGGATCCGCACTCAAGGAAGGAGATGGGGACGCACAAGTCGCACAGCTCCCGAAACTTGTCCAGCGACTTGGCCCAGTCGGGTAGTCCGAGCGCCTGGGAGACCAGGGCGGCCACGGCGTAGACGCCGGCGCCCCCGAGCAGGAAAGCGGCGCGGGTGTCGGGGTCGTTTTCGCCCCAGTACTCCTCGTAGCGCACGCAGGCGTCGATCAGTTGCTTGGCCACCCGCAGGTGGGCGTCCCGCGCCTGAGCGAAGAGGGGGCACTGCGCGACTTGATACAGCATGTAGGCCACGCCGGCCACGCCGCCATAGAGGCCCCCCTGATAGCAGCGCAGGCCACCGGCCGCTTCGGTGCCGGCCGGGGCCGGCAGCTCCTTGAGGATGTGGTCCACGGTGGCCGTCACCAAGGGCAACGCCGCCTCCTTGCATTTCCCGGCCAGCAGGCTTCCCGTGTAGTCATCGAAGCGGTTGGCGAAGCAGCGCTTGCTTCCCATGCCTGGCGCGGCCCGGGGGCGCTTGCCAGCCTCGCCGGGCTCCGCGCGGTCGTCTGGTTCTCGGGCGCTCGGCGGCGGATGCTCTGGGCTGCTACTTTGTGTGCTGGGCGCCGGCGGTCTGCCCGGAGAGACCTCGTTTGCGTTGGTTGATTGAAGGAGAGAGCGAGAATTACTCGGCAAGCTTAACCAAGCTTCTGCCGGCCGCAACCCGCAGCCGGTCCAAAATCCGTCTGTCTTCCTCTCTCGCTCGCCGCGCTCCGTCTCTCAGTCGCCAGCCCGACCTGAAAGGTCTGCAAGAGGCAACTGTCCTCGCCTCGTCCCCTAGCTTGCTTTTTTCTCTGGAAGAGAAGAAGAGGCGGGCGCCCCCCTTCAGCCCTGGAAAGCAGCAGCTCCTGACAAGCTAGCCAGGTGCCTGCGTGGACAATGGACCTCCCCCCAACTCCACACAAGCAAACCCCCACTCCGTTTCTCGATGTTGAAACAGGTATGTCATGGAACAAAACACGCCCTTCCCACTGGAAATGAGACTGCAGGTTTTAGCACAGTAGTTGGAATTAAAGGATCCCTGCAGGCAACAAAAGGGAAAGATCTAATTATTAATTGATGGCGAAGGTTCATATTTCTGTTGTAATTAGGTGGGATGTATATAAAAGGAACAGATAGTGATAGTGATTTTAGTACACTTTTAAAATAAGTTCCCAGTTATATGAATAAATCCAGCGTCTCAGCCGGTGGCTGATTGTGCTTCCCTGAATCTCCAATATTACTTCTCCCAACTGTACGTTTATAACATAACTCCTTCTTCTGATCATTTGAAAGGTGCATTGAAAAGGAGACATTTCTTCCTCTGCTACCATTATATCTCCTTTGTAAATATATGTAGTGAGAAATTTAATACCTTTGCCACATACAGCATCAAGCAACCTAATTACAGTTTTTCAGATAAGAAAGACAAAATATGAAACACAGTTAATAATAAATTGTATCCATGGTAATTTAACACAATGTTTCTCAACTGTGGCAACTATAAGATGCAACAACTTCAGTTCCCAGAATTCCAGTCCACACGTTAAACTTGCCACAAGGTTGAGAAACACTGACATAGTGATATTGGGAAGGATTCTTCCAGAGACCTGGGAAAGCTCTTCTGAATAAGAACAAGCAATAGAGCATTACATGCACAAATATTGTAGCCTTGCTCTGATACGAAGGTGTCATCTCATATTGTTACTGTAATTTCTGCACAGTTCACTTGGTCCATCTCAGGATGTATACTTTTAGAATTATTGTGCATTATTATGTACACAAAAATGTGAAATCACAGCTACCAGTTCTTTAGTCGGTGTTGACTTTCATATGCACTTTCTCAAGAACCTAAGATGTGATAAAATATTGGCAGAGTATAGGTGTAGATCCAAGCAGTGTAGACTTTTCAGGCACAGTTAAATCTGTGTGTTATGAGCCAAAACTTTTATCTGTTTGAATTTGGAACTCCAATAATTTTTTTTTATAATTATTATGGTTTAGACTGGATTCGGCATTTTGATCTAGCTATCAAGTTCTTCCCAAGGACCTGGGATAGAAACATGTTTGAAGCTTTTATAGGTATCAGAATGTAAGCCATGAGTTTAATTTCAGCTTCCACAATTTCCAACCAAATAACGGATCATAACTTTGTAAGCTTGGCTCTATTGTTTTTTAAAATCTATCTTGTAAATTCACATTGCCTTTTCATTTTATTTTGAATAATTTGAACCATAATTTTAGTGTCAGTAGTATACAGTAAATTAGGGAATCACTGGCTAGAAAAATGATATTATTATTGTTCATCAGATATCAAAGCAGAATGAAAAGGATTGACTTTCTACAATGAGGTTACTGCAATAGGCATGAGAGAGTCCGGATAGGAGAATTACATATTTGATTGCCAGTATTTCCACTGGCAGTAATGAATACATTTACTAGAATCAGCATGAGCTGTTAACTTATTGTGACAGGAAAATATAGAGCCTATTATTTTGCAGCTTATATATTTTATTTTTTAACATTACAGAATTAGGCTGGCGTATAATGGTTATTTTTTGCCAGCATTTAATGCTTAGACACTTCTTCCATTTGTTCCTCTTCTTATTCACTGTGTTTCCATAAATAGACAGACTTCATTTTGTCCCTTAATGACAATAGCAAAACCAATCAACCCACCCACACTTTGCTTTATAGCATTTGCAGTCAATAAATCCAGTGCATTTTGCCTCAGGGCAAAAGGATTTAAAGCATTTTTCAAGTCCAGATAATGTTGAAAAGTGACTCAAACACAAACCTCCCCAATTCTATAAAGAGAAAGAGGTACAGCACAATTAGACTTGCAATCTCAATAAAAGTAGTTTTAACTTTTAACTATGATTTCCTGGCCTAACCTCTCTGGTGGGTTTGACAACAGATGATTTCATCCAGCAGTTTCATGTAGATGTTAAGTAGGAGTAGGGAGACACTTGAGCCCTATGGCATCGCCACAAAGCAAAGGCCTAGGGCTAAACCTCTGCCCTGCCCAAACTGGAATCAGCCTTGAAGGAAGAAGAACCACTGAAGAATCACTAAGAAATAGCTGCTGGAATTGGGTATGTCTAGTTTAATGAAGAGAAGGACGAGAGGGGACATGATAGCAGTGTTCCAATATCTCAGGGGTTGCCACAAGGAAGAGGGAGTCAAGCTATTCTCCAAAGCACCTGAAGGCAGGACAAGAAGCAACAGATGGAAAATAATCAAGGAGAGAAGCAACCTAGAACTAAGGAGAAACTTCCTGACAGTTAGTACAATTAATCAGTGGAACAACCTGCCTCCAGAAGCGGTGAATGCTCCAACACTGGAAGTTTTTAAGAAGAGACTGGACAGCCATTTGTCGAAAATGGTATAGGGTTTCCTGCCTGAGCAGGGGGTTGGAATAGATGACCTCCAAGGTCCCTTCCAACTTTATTATTATTAACCTCCCACTCCCAACTCCGCCAGCCAGCCCAAAAGAACACCATCATTAAGTAGGATCAGGATGGCTACATTAACCCCATCAGTGGCCGATTAGTAGTCATCTACTAGTACAGGGGGCCCCAACCCCCAGCTCATGGACCGGTACAGGGCTGCGGCATGCCAGAAACTAGGTCGTGCAAACAAGCAAAGCTGCTGATTTGTTTCTAAGTCAATTTCAATCTCCTATCCAAAATCTGGAGAGAGGGAGAAACATTTAATCATTTTGAATACCTCAGAGGAAAAGCAGGATATAAAAGTAGTAATAAATTAACCATCTCCTGCCCTATTATTAGAAAATGGTTACTACTGCTTTCTCTGTTCCACAGTGTTATTTCAAAATATGCTTCTTCAACTTCATATTATTTTTATACGGGTAGTCCTTGCTTATCAACCATTCATTCATTCGGCAACTGTTTAAAGTTATGGTGACACTGAACAAATAGTACTTACGCCCAGTTCTTGAAGTTACAGCAGTGCACATTTATGGTCACAGGGTGCATTTCAACTCCTCCCATTTACTCATCTCTCCCCTTTTGTATGCCCTGCACTCCACTGCTCCTGCTGCCGTGTACTCCACCACCGCTGTCACCTCCAATTCACCTTTGCAGTCTTCTTCCTGCCACTGCTGATGAGGCATATAGAGCCTGGGCCTTTTCAAAGCAACGGCTGGCCATAGGAAGGCCTTTCATGTCTTAAGAAGGCCTTAAACAACCAGCAGATTCCTCACGAAGGGCCAGACTGTGCATGCCTCATCAGCAATGTGAAGAAGAAAATGGAGATGATGAATTGTGAGCAGCAGGGGTGGCAGAACACTAGGCAGCTTGTATGCCCTCCTCCCCCTGGCAGAAGTCACCTCTCAGCTCTGAGTGTGGCAGCTACTTAGCTCCCTACTAATTTTCTTGCAAGCCGCCTGGGATTCATGACTTCCTGCTGGCTTCCCCATTGAATTTTCCTACTGGAAGTAGGCAGAAAGTTGTGAGGAGGTCCACGCATAATAACTCATGGCTCACACTTAACAATAGTAATAGGGATTGCTGTTATTAAGCGATGCGATACACTTTACAATCCTATTATTAGCAATGGAAATTCTGATCCCAGTTATCGCCATTGATTTAGGACTGCCTATAGATACATATTAAAACATTTGTACCTTGACTTCTAAACCAAGGAAAAGCTCCATTATGATTATTTAAGTCCAAAATAATATTAAAGATGTGTTTGCTTTATATGCCATTTTTCATTCGGGAGCGTATTTTCTTCACACAACAAAACTGTGAAGAAGTTTGTGATGAAAGTTGAGATGAAAAAAATGGGGAGCCAAAGTCGTCAGGAAGTATATGTGTCTGAGACTGGACTAAAATCTGGTTCTCTCTGGTTTACAGTAATTTGTACATGACTCTACAATGAAAGCATAATTTATTAGCAAAAGTAATAAGGGCTGTAGTTGTTCATCATTGTAATTTCTGCTTTAAAATATGTTATCTTATAGGATGTATGGGATGTAATGTAATGTCTGTTAAGAATATTTTTGGACAATTATCCTGCTTATGCACTAACACAGGGGTAGGCAACCTTGGCTCTTTTATGACTCGTGGACTTCAACTCCCAGAATTCCTGAGCCAGCATGGCTGGCTCAGGAATTCTGGGAATTGAAGTCCACGAGTCATAAAAGAGCCAAGGTTGCCTACCCCTGCACTAGCAGAATCCAAAGCCCCAGTATTCCATTAAGGCTGAGATAGCAGGCAGAACTTGATTTCTGGAATTCTATCCAAACTCTTAGAACATAGCTCTACTCTAAGCCATATGACTACTAGAAAGATGAGAGGAAATTTAGAATGGAATGGTCAGCAACACTTTAAATGATTGCCCAATTACCTTTCCCATATGAATGCACTGGGATTTTTTTCCCCCAGCCCCTGGCCAGGTCTGTTGAAACTTCTGTTGAAATTCAATAGATAAGTAATTAAAATTGACCTGATGACAATTGCTTCTTGTTATAGCAGGGCTTTTTTCCCTGAATACTTATAAAGATATCTTGCATTTTCTATAACATGTATCAGTCTATAGTTAATAATAGTAACAACAACAACAACAATGATCAGAATGACATGAATTGGTATTATGGAAACAAAGGTAAAATGACTACTAAAACAAAAGGATATAATAACTAAGTTAGATAGGAAATTGAGAAAGCACAACTTAACATAATCTCCTTCAGTTATTTTGACTCAAATTTATATGACATCTGGATTAAAAAAAGGACCCTAGATGAGTAGTTTACAACATTGGTTCACCTATTTATCAGAGGCCTCACTATTGGTAGATTGGAGTTCTTGCTCTCATATTCGTCTGAAGACAGAAATAAAGGACCATCAATGTTCAACAATTATCTCCAAGGTTGGTTAAACTGAGAATTATAGCTTTTGTAAA